AGAATCATAGAATGGTTTGGATTTTAGAAGGGGCCCTAAAGATCTCAGTCCACCTTCAGGCAGTCAGACTGACTTCTTCATGTGTTTGGAAGATGGATTTGTTTTCTGTGCCTTCGCAAATGGCTCCTTTTGCTGAGCTTGCCAGCTTGTGGGGTTATTTTGTTTCACCTGATTCTGTTTTCCTCACATGGAAATAAACGTACTTTTAATAGCTGTATTCTTCATCATTTTAACTTTGTGGGCTTCCTTCTCCAGTTCTCAAGTGTGAGCTTGGAGACTCCAGATTTTGTTTTTAAATGGCGTGCATCACTTGCAGAGAAATCATTCTCTTTGGCTGCCCTCTCCTTTTTAAGCACACTTCTTTATTTTTATGAAGTTTCTCTTTCTAAACCAAACAGAGTTTCTCTCTTGCACATTTAATCCAGCTGTGCTCTTGATTGCTGTTTCGGATTTTACATGTTGATCTGTACTCTGTGGGACTTGTTAGGGCAAACTTTTGGGGTATTTTTTCCCCCTTGTGGAACAAGCTGCTGTACAGAATGCCTGGGCTGTGTCCTCAGTGCTGTGCCCCAGTGCAGGAGCTTGCCCATTGTATGCTGCTGACAGAGAGCTCCTGTTACTGTTCTGTTTCCTGGCTTTGTCACCTCCCCAGCTCCCCCCTGTGTGTCGGGTAGTGCTGCTGTTCTGGACAGGCCAGCCCTGCCATTACTTGACCCTTAAGTTTTCAGTCTGTAGGCTTTGTATTGTTTATCCATATGGTCAAATGGCTAATTTGATTAGACTTTAAGCTCTCTCGTAATGGATCAGCAATTCCTACTGGCATACTATGTCCTTCCTGACACCAGTGTTTTGCTTTTCAGTTTCCTCTCTGAATTTCCAGTACAACTGCATGTGACCTTCCGGCTGTTGGCTGTTCTACTTTCTAGGCTGTTTCCTTCTACCAGCTGTCAAAGTCTGGGTCCACTGTTTGAGTTTTGTCCTTTTCTTCAACTCGCCAAGCTGTTTGTCTTGTTTGTTCTTTGGTTCCTGTTTGTTTGTTGTCCAGCCCTATCTCCTGCTGACCCAAATCCCTGTCTGTGGTGGCCCCTGGGTGCCTTTGGTGGGTGAGCGCTCCTTGACACACATCCCAGAGTTCCTGTTGCTGGAGAACGTGGTGCATCACTTCAAGCTTCCCTGCGTGCTTGATCTGAAGATGGGGACCAGACAGCATGGAGATGATGCCTCTGAGGAGAAGGCTGCTCGGCAGATGAAGAAGTGTGAACAGAGCACTTCTGCCACCTTGGGTGTGCGTGTGTGTGGGATGCAGGTAGGGATCCCCCAGGCTTCAGATGCTGTACCTTCCTTTTCATAGCTGCATTGAGCCTCCCAGTTAGTGTTTTCTGCTGAGCACTGAATTTGAACCTCACACTGCAGGTAGGTACACCAGCATTCACGCTATTTTTATCTTCATTTCTAAGCCTAAAACAAATGAACCTGCTTTTCCTGAGATGGCCTTCTTTGTCCAGAGCTCCTTTACTCACAGACAATTAGGGGATTTTTTAATAAATTATTTTTGTGGCTTAGTGTTCAGCTAGAATCACAATGCCTGAGAATGGAAGTGTCTGACATTTCCTTCTGTCCTGCACTGATTGTTAAAAGGTTGCTGTGCCTGTGCGCAAGTGTTTGCTGTTGTGCAATAATTGCTCCTTTCCCCACCTGCCGAAGGAACCAGATCTTGTAACCCAGATCTCTGCCCACAGACTCTGAAGCAACGAGGGCTCCTCGTTAATCACATGCCACATAGTGGCAATAGGTGTTGGCAGCTCCTGCTGCCAGAGGATTGTCTGAGTTGTTGTAAGACTTAGCTTTTTAACTTTTGGGGTCAGTTGTGTCATAGCTTTTGGGGCACTAGGACTTGTGAGCCCCTTTTGGGTGTCCTGGAAAAGAACTCTAGTGCTCAGGCATCCTGAATATGCCCCTGGGTGGCACCCAGGAGCTGCTCTGGGATGCAGGGAACGGGCAGAGCTGTCTCCTGCTCCCACTCAATCGTAATGGAGATAGGATGAGTTCCCTCTGTGCATTTGCTCCCACTTGATGTGCATTTCCTTTGGTGTTCCAGGTCTATCAGCTGGACACAGGGCATTACTTATGCAGGAATAAATACTATGGGCGCGGCCTTTCCATCGAAGGCTTCCGCAATGCCCTCTACCAGTACCTCCACAATGGCATTGAGCTGCGCAAGGACCTCTTTGAGCCTGTCCTCGCCAAACTGCGCAGCCTGAAGGCGGTTCTGGAGAGACAGGCCTCCTACCGCTTCTACTCCAGCTCCCTCCTCATCATCTACGACGGGCAGGACAGCCGTGCGGGGGCCTTGCTGGAGCGCCGGCCGGAGGCGCGCCTGAAGCGCGGGGACGGCTCTGTCCCGGAGAGCCTCCAGGACGGCGGCGGCCCCGAGCCCGGTTCCTCGGCCCAGCCCAAGGTGGACGTGCGCATGATTGACTTTGCACACAGCACCTTCAAGGGCTTCCGCGACGACCCCACTGTGCACGACGGACCCGACATGGGCTACGTGTTCGGGCTGGAAAGCCTCATCAACATCATGGAACAGATGCGTGAGGAAAACCAGTAGCTCTGGGCTGTGGCCTCTTATTCTTGTCCTGGTGGCAGGAGCAGACAAGACCACCCACTACTACAGGAAAAACACAGACAAATTTGGTTTTAAACAACTGTATCGCTCTGTTGTTTTTTAAATGTACTTGGATAGAAGAGCTGAGGTGAGGCAGGACAGAAGAACTCGTGCTGACCAGATGGTTCTGACCGCACTTGCTCTGCCTTCTGGAGGAGGCTCTGTAGATGCCTGCTGGGTGTCAGGTGTCCCGGTTCTTCACTCATCATATGTGTGTTCTGGAGGGAGGACCTGGACATAGGGAAGAGAAAGCAGGAGAGCCCAGGGCCCTCGACGAGGCTGGAGCTCTGGTGTGAGGAGCCTTCTGCCTCAGGAGCTTCCCCTTTGAATTTCTCCTGAGTTGTTCGGAGAGGGCGCTTGCCTGATGGTTGGCAGTGTCTGTGAGGCCACCGGTGAGAAGTCAGGCGCCGGTCCCTGTGTTTGGTGTCGCTGGCTCTGCCCTGGGTTTTGGAGATGGGGCTTTGCTTTTGATGCTGCCTTTTTCTGCTGTTTGGGCACTGTGAGTAGCTACCCCAAACACGGAAATGAAATGACCAAATGCAATCCCTGGCAGAGCTGTGGCCTGGAGGGAATGCCGCACACGTGGAGCTGAGCTCGAGCCTGGGGTCTGCTTGCTCCCTGCTGGCATGGCATGGCATGGGCAGGCACAGGGCTCTGCAGGAGTGACTTGCCCTGGACCACTGACTTGAAAGCGCTCAGCTCGTGGGCTAGCAATAGTACCTGTAGCAGTTAACATGACCCCAGCTGTGCAGTGGGGCATTTCGGACCATTTCAACCCTTCCCCTCCTGTAAAGTACAGAGTATGTCCCTCCAGCACAAAGCTGCCCTCTTCCCCTGGGGACCCTCTGCCCCCAGGCCCTGCTTTTCCAACAGGTCTGGGGGTGGTGGAAGGGGAGGCTGAGGCTTAGGGCTGATCCCTATCTCCTCCCTGAGGGTCTCTAGAGGCCAGGTGGGGGGTGATTTAGCTGAGCAGTGAGTGCCACTGTCTTGACTGTTCAGTACCACTGCCTGACTGTTGAGCTCCGCTTCACAGAATCAGTGTCTCCCAAAATAAATGTCCCCAACCTCCTTTGATGAGGAATTAATGTTTGATACTGTGGCCTAGTGGTACCGGACTGAACCGTGCTCCACCTCAGCTCCTGTTTCTGTGCTGGAGCCCTGGCTGCTCCCTCCTGCTCTCACTGACTTGTTCCATGGCATTACCATTACCCTGTGTACCCACAAGGCCAGGGTTGGGTTTTTTTAATTACTTCAGGGAAGCTTGTTCGGGGAATACTCGCATGTCGCATGTGTGCCGACTCCATGTGCACAGAGGCCGCTTGGAAAGCACGGCTGCCACATCTCAGGCACAGGTCTGTGGCACTGGTGTGGAGGGGGACAGGAGAGCTGCCCGCTTTGTCTGCCTGTCTCCCAGCTCCTCAAACCTGCCACTGCTCCCCTCCCACCCTCTGGAGAAGGACTTCTATCCACGGCACGCTGCCCTGCACTGGGTTACTTCATTGCTCCTGCGGGTCCCTACCTTGCCAGGACTCGCAGGGTTTTCAGGGAGCAGGTTTGCAGGAGGCAGCAAGGCTGTGTGCGTGCGGGGGTGTAGGTACCCACAACAGCCGTATTGTTCCCTGGCCCTGCCCTAGCGTGGCCCATCGCCGCCCACCTCTGCATGTCCTTGTTCCCGCGGGCTGTGCTCGGATGAGTCGGGCCGCACCGCCGGGAGAGCCCCTTGCTGTCCCCCGCGCTCATTCCTGCCTTTCCCCGCCTCACTGCGCCGTGACGGACGGGCCACGCTGCCGGTGCTCAGTGGGAGCCGCCTCCCTCCCTTCGGACCACCGCGGTGGGACTCCACAGCTTGTACATAGCCTTGGCCCTGTTTGTTTTTACATGAATAACCACCCTGTTTGTGCTTCACAGAGAACCAAAAACCATTAAAGGATCTGTTTTTGTCCGCGGCGTGCCGTGCCTGCCTCTCTTGGGGACGGGATTAGGGGGTTTGGATGAACGTGCCCGCCCGGTGCGGCTGTGGCTGCTGCTCTCTTCTCATCGGAGTGGCCCCGTCGTTGCTGCATCCCGAGGGAGCCCCGGCCCCGGGCAGGGTGCGGTGGCTGCAGCAACGACCTGGCCGGACGGCGCTGGGACGCTTTAGAGCTGGTTGGGCGGGGAGTGTGCGGGGCGGGCGGGAGGAGCCGGCGGGAGGAGCCGGCGGGAGGCGGGGCCCGGGCGGGAGGCGGGGCCCGGGCGGGAGGCGGGGCCCGGGCGGGAGGCGGGGCCCGGGCGGGGCAGGGCCCGGGCGGGCGGGGCGGAGCCGCGCGGCGATGACGCGCCCGGCGCGCCCGGCGCTGACGTGTCGATGCGGGCGCTGGCCTGAGACGCGGGACGCGGGGGATGCGGGCGCTGATCCTGGTTGGCGGCTTCGGGACGCGGCTGCGGCCGCTGACCCTGAGCCGGCCGAAGCCGCTGGTGGAGTTCTGCAACAAGGCGGTGCTGCTCCACCAGCTCGAAGCTCTCCGGCAGGTGGGGGCGCGGGGCGCGGGGGGCGCGGGGACCGCCCCGCCGCCGGCTGACCCGCGCTCCCGCAGGCGGGCGTCAGCCATGTGGTGCTGGCGGTGAGCTACATGTCGGACGCGCTGGAGGCCGCTATGCGGGAGCAGGAACAACGGGTAAGGGCCCTTCCGCCTCCCCCCGCCTCCCCCCGTTACCCGGCTTGTTCCGCCGCTCACCCTGTGCCCGCAGCTCGGCATCCGCATCTCCATGTCCCACGAGAAGGAGCCGCTGGGCACAGGTAGGATTCGGGCAGGAGCTTGGGGCTGGTGGGCGGGCACAGGTGGGATGGAGGAAGTCCAGGGACAGCAGGGTGGGTGCTGGGGGGAACACCGGGATGGATACGGCACGGCTAGAGACGCTGGGAGGGGGGCACCGTGGACATTAGGGTGGGTAGGGATGGGGGACACCGGGAGTGGGACACCATGGGCAGCAACATGGCAATGGATCGGTAGGGCCGGCAAGAGCAGGGGAATCAGGAGGAGTATGCTAGCATGGACATGGGCAGGACCAGGGACAGCGGGCCGGGTGAGGATCCAGAGGGACTGGGGACTTGGGAAGGATGCTGGGACGGGCAGAGGTGGGCCCAGCAGGACCCGGGCTCACCACGTCCCTGCGGCGTCACTCACGGCCGCGCAGCGGGACCGCTGGCGCTGGCGCGGGACGTGCTGGCCGAGGACGGGGAGCCCTTCTTTGTCCTCAACAGCGACGTGATCTGCGAGTTCCCCTTCGCGGCGCTGGCCCGTTTCCACCGGCAGCACGGCGGCGAGGGCTCCCTGGTGGTGACCCGCGTGGAGGAGCCAGCCAAGTACGGTGTGGTGGTGTGCGAGGCCGACACCGGCCGCATCTGCCGTTTCGTGGAGAAGCCGCGCGTCTTTGTGTCCAACAAGATCAACGCTGGCCTCTACATATTTAACCCTGGCATCTTGCAACGCATCCAGGTATGAGCCGGGGCGCCATGCTGGGCCAGGCTGAGGGACTGTGCCCCCTGCTCAGCCCCGTACCTCATTCTTGCAGCTGCGCCCCACCTCCATTGAGAAGGAGATCTTCCCCGCCATGGCACAGGATGGGCAGCTCTACGCCATGGAGCTACAGGGTAAGGCCCTGTGCACAGTGCAGGCAGCATCGGGGGTCTTGCCTGCACTGCCACCCTCACGCTGGGGGCTGTCACCGTGGCTTTGTCCCCACAGGCTTCTGGATGGACATTGGGCAGCCAAAGGATTTCCTTACGGGCATGTGCATGTACCTGCAAGCGCTGCGGGCTCAGCACCCCGAGAAGCTACACTCGGGGCCCGGTGTCGTAGGGAATGTGCTGGTGGTAAGTGCCAGCCCCCAGCACAGCAGCCCTGGGCACGTCATGAGCTCTCTGCATTGTCCCACCACTGTCCTCACTGCCATTCTCAACCTGTGCCCTCCTCTTCCCTGGCTGGCCAGTGGCAGGGGCTATGCCAAGAGCCGTCTGCCCTTCCAACCCTGGCATGGGCCCTCCTCCTTCCAGGACCCCAGTGCCAAGATTGGAGCAAACTGTGTCATCGGCCCCAACGTGACGATCGGGGCCGGCGTGGTGGTGGAGGACGGGGTGCGCATCAAACGCTGCACTGTGCTGGAAGGGGCCCGCATCCGCTCCCATTCCTGGCTGGAATCCTGCATTGTGGGCTGGAGCTGCTCTGTGGGGCAGTGGGTGAGGACATGTGTGCCCCCGCAGGGGATCGGGACTCAGCTCTTGCCCTCTCACCTCCTCGGGCTGTGGCTGCAGGGATGTGGTCCCTGCAGGCAGGAGCAGGAGCCTGGCAGTGGGCCCTGAGCCCAGGGATGTGACAGGGCCTCTCTGGGGCAGGTGCGCATGGAGAACGTGACTGTGCTGGGCGAGGATGTCATCGTCAACGACGAGCTCTACCTCAACGGGGCCAATGTGCTGCCACACAAATCCATCGCCGAGTCTGTGCCAGAGCCACGCATCATCATGTAGCAGCCCCCAGCAGGCCCTGCGCTCCCAGCTCTCCTTGGATTAAATATTTATATTTCCATTTACTGTTAAGCATCACCTGAGTGCAGCCCCAACACCAGGGCCTTCCCTTTCCCATCGTTCAGGGTACCACATAAGGAAGAATAATTTAATGCTGCTTTTCATAAAGTCAGCCCCCAGCCAGGGGCAAGTTAACAGCCCAAATGCCCAGCTCAGCCCCCCTGCCCTGGCCCCGGGGCTCCCATGTGTTCCCAGCACTGCCACAGAGCCGAGGCCTTGGGCTCCTCTCCCTGAGAACGGCCCACAGGGCGGAGAGGCTGCTGGGCACCTGCCTTTCCCACCCTGCAGCCCTCCCGCCTCACACTGCTGCCCTGTGCTGGGTCCTGACCCTCTGGGTGAGGGTCCCATAGCCCTGAGCAGGGCGAGCGTTTGGGGAGAAGCCAGTGTGAGGCGGGGGGGCTGCCCCGCTCCGCTGGGGGAGCCTGTGGTGTGGGGCTGGGCTCTACGAGCTGGCTGGCTTGGTGAAGTCGTCCACCCCTGTGATGGTGGCCTTACAGAAGAAGCAGTCCTTGTTGTTCATCAGGTGCTGGTTGATGCAGGCTCTGGGACAGAGGAGGAAAGAGCATCAGCCCCCACCCACACAGCACAGGCCAGGGCCAGGGGCTGGCAGTCATCCTGGTGGAGGTCAGACATGGGAGCTACTCACTTGCATGACTTATGGGAGCAGGGCCTGAAGATGGCTGAGATGGGGTGTGCGTAGCAGATGGGGCACAGGTCTTCCTCGCTGGTGGGCTGTGGGGGTTACCAGGAGTTAGCAGTGGCATCCAAAGTCCCGTGTCCCAGGCCTCTGTCAAGGACTGGGACAGGGCTGGGGCAGGGAGAGGACTCACCAGTGTGGTTGCAGCTGCCTGCTTGGACTCTTCACTCAGATGGTTCAGCATCTTTTCCACCTTTGCCAGCTCCTCAGTACTGATGTACTCTGTGTCTGGGGAGCAAACTGGGTGTGTGTGGGGTGAATGGGACCCTCAGCTGTCCTGAGGCTGCTGCACAGAGGCTGCAGCTGCCCTTGGGGACCAGCCAAGACAGGGAGCACTGGGCACTGAGGAGAGCAGAACTACTGGCTGGCACTGGATACATCCCCATCCAAAGTGCTGCTCCTGGGGTGGTGGAGGAGGGCATAGACACCTGTCCCCAAGACTAAAAGGGCTGGGATGTCACAGGGGACAGAGATACCAGCAGCCCCATTCCCCCCTCCCCGGCTGTGGGTGGGTGCTGAGCACAGCCCAGCTCCTGGTGCAGTGCCAACACTTACAGGTGTGCAGGGAGAAGTGGCGCTTGTCCGTGGGCGGGGCAGCTGCTGCCAGGGCCGAGGGCTCAGCGTGGCCCAGCAGGTACTGGATGGAGCGCAGCTGGAAGCAGGGATCTGCCAGCAGCACCGTGGTCGCACGCTCGGTCCTGCCAAGGAACACAGACCTCAGACAACTCACCCTGTGCTCCCACACCAGCACCCCCAGCTGCTGTCCCCTCGGTCCAGGAGAACATCCTCAAATACAGCCAAAGAGCAGCAGCCATCCTCCTCCTCTGCCACCCCGACTCAGAGGCTCCGGGGATCGATGCGGTGCTTCAGCACTTGCTGAGGCTGCAGCCCTTGGGCCAGGGCCTGAGCCTGGGGCTGCTGCAGGGCAGCTGAAGCATCCAGCACTGCCCTTGGTCACAGCACCTCAGGGGACATGCTCTGCAGAGCCTCACACCAGGGGCTGGGGCCCTCCTGCACCAACAGGACAGCTCAGTGTGTGCTCAGGGCAAGCAGGTCCCACCAAAAGGCAGGAGGGAGGAGTCGTGGCCCTCCCTGGCTTCAGTGGGCACAGCCAGGGCAGATGAAGGTCGCCTTAATGAGTGTCTCCCTCGGGCACCAGTGCCGTGGCCTGCTAACAGCCCCTGGCAAGGAGCAGAGCTGGCTCCGTGGCTGGCCCAGGGGCAAGCAGAGCCGCCCCAGCAGCAGGAGGGGCAAGGGAGCAGCCAGTCAGCACAGGCTGAGCCAGGACGCAGGGGGTTAACAGCCCCTTGACTCGCAGCAGCCGCAGCCGCCAAATTAGCTTTTTGCTGCCCTAATGGAAAACAATTCCCCAGTTCTCCTCTTCCCACTAAACCGCCTGAGCTCTGGATAATGACATTCCTGCGTGTCCTTCACCCTTCCCCGTCAGCAGCCCGCGGCACCCCCTCTGCCGCAGGGACCCCACTGGGCTCAGCCCCCCTGCTCACCCCAGGGTCGGGGGTGCTGGGGAGCCCCCAGCTCGTGGGGTGATGAGGATTAGGGCAGCCGGAAGGACCGCGGCTGGGAGAGAAGCAGCACCGGGGGGTGACCGCCATCCCCACTCGCAGCCTGGGTGCAGGAGGGGCTCCCAGAGGGGCTCCCAGAGGTGACGGGTCTATTCCAGCATTCTGCCCGAGGCTGGGCAGCGGCGGGACAGCCGCTTTATGGATGACAGCCGATCGCGCTCTCCGGCGGCTGCACACCGGTGCGGCCGAAGTGGTCCTCAGGTCCCCTGGGGACGAGCGACCACGCAGGGTCGGTGCTGGCTGCGCATCGCTCTGCCCACCCGCAGGGAGGGCCACGGCCAGGGACGGGGACAGGGACCGGGCCAGGGCCACCACTCCCCGCGCCGGGGCCAATGGGATCCCGCCCGGCCCCCTCGCCGCGCACCGCCCGCGCGTAAATAGGGGCAGGAGCGCGCCCGGCTCCGGGAGGTGCCGCCCGGGAAGGAGCCGGACGAGGCTCCCCGGAGATCGCAGCGTGCGGATGTGCCCCGGCGGCGCCGAGCCCTGAGAAACTTCGCACTCCAGGGATGAGCAGCTCCAGGAGGCAGCGAGGCGCCCGCCCAGCCCGACACGCAGCCCCGGAGCGCCCGAGCGCCTCAGCCCCCTGATGCCGATCGCCGGCGCCCACCCGACCCCCGGCAGCCCCCGGCCCTCGGCAGCACAGGTACGAGGCAGCCTCGGGTGAGCCGCGGCAGAGCCGGGCAGGGCGATGCCGCCCTTTAGGTCTTTTCAAACCCCACGGCTGGAATCGGGATTCTCTTTCGCGGGGTGCAAAAGGGCGGCTGTGGATGCTTGGTAGAGCCAAACCAGCACTGAGGGAAGACGAGAGACGGCGGCAGATTTTTCCTCGCGTCTCATCCAGCCTGGCTTTGCTGCCGGGCTGTACAGAGGCTCCTACCCGCCACGATGTCCTCGCCGGTGATCGCGGACTCGGTCTGGCCGCGGGTGGCAAAGCTGTTCCTGCTGCTGCTCCAGCTGTGCACCCCCCGAGCCTCCCCGCAGCCCCGCCGCTGCCCCGATGTCTGCATCTGCACCTCCGACCTGCTGAGCTGCAGCCAGCAGATGCTGCAGCGGGTGCCCCAGGCACTGCCGCCCACCACCAGCACGCTGGACCTCAGCCACAATGCCCTCACCCAGCTCCAAGACCACTGGCTGGCTGTTCTCCCGCACCTCGAAGCCCTCCACATCAGCCACAACCAGATTCGGGACCTTTCTCCGCGGGCATTTCACAATGCCTCCTTCCTGCGGTACCTGGACATGTCCTCCAACCACCTGCAAGCTGTGGAGAGGCACTACTTTGAGTCACTGGTGAGCCTGGAGGAGCTGCTGCTCTATGACAACCATATCAAGCGGGTGGATGAAAACGCCTTTGCCAAGCTGAGTGATCTGCGGAAAGTCTACCTGAGCTGGAACAACCTGACCACCTTCCCTTTCCATGCTGTGCAGGGGCTGGGAATCCACAAGCTCCGCACGCTGGACCTCTCCTCCAACAGCCTGAGCAGCATCCCCGTGGAGGTGCTGACAGCTCTGCCCGAAAACATCGTCAATGGCTTGTACCTGCACAACAACCCCATCAGGTGCAGCTGCCCGCTCTACCTGATGCTTCAGCGCTGGAATCAGCGAGGTTTCAGCTCCGTGAAAGATTTCTCTGAGGAACACACCTGCAAGGTGTCTGACAACGTGCCCCGGTCCCTGATCAAGTTCCTCAAACACAGACACATGTTTGAGAACTGCTCGGCGAGCACCGAAGATGCGCACCTCTCACACTTGGAGGTGGTGGTGGGCCAGCCCATCCTGCTCACCTGTAACACCAGTAACACCAGCCTGCCACACGCTGCCACCACCTACATGTGGATCACCCCTCACCATGAGCCCATCAAACACCCAGGGAACAGCAATCGCTCCCTGGAGCTCTATCGCAACGGCAGCCTGAGGATCGCCGCAGCCAAGCCCTGGCTCTCGGGGGTCTACGTAGGCTTGGCCATGAACAGCCCCTACAACTTCAGCAGGATGTGCGAGTTCAACATGACTGTCCTCTACCCCAAGGCAGCTGGGGAGACCTTCAGCACTGGCCTCACGACCCTGCTGGGCTGCATTGTGAGCCTGGTGCTGGTGATCATCTACTTGTACCTCACGCCGTGCCGCTGCCTGGGCTGCTGCAAGAAGCCGGCCCCGCTCAGCCCCCCGCAGGAGTGCAGCGCCCAGTCCTCCATCCTCAGCACCACTCCCCCCGCCACCGATGGGCCAAACCGCAAGGCCAGCGCCAACAAACACGTCGTCTTCCTCGAGCCCATCAGGGAGACACAGAATGGCAAGATCCGCCTGGCCCTCGGTGAGGACTTCCCCGACCCCAAGCACCCCAAGGTCCTGCAGCTCAAGTCGGACTCAGAGTCCATCAGCTCTGTCTTTTCTGATACCCCCATTGTGTCTTAGTGGGACAGAGCCAGGAGGAGAGCTGAGGTCTCCTCCATCGCTGCTAGACCAGGATCATTGGGGATCCCGAGTTCCTGGCTTGACCATGACCCACGGGAGCGACTGACACCACCCAAACTGCTTCAGCCATGGGCTCCTGGTGGGTTTTGGGCTATGGGCACATTGGTGCCCAGCAAGAACGCCTTGCATAATCCGCTGGCAATGGCTTGTTAGCACACGGGTAACGCTAACCCAGCATGCTGGAGAAACACCCCTTCATTTGGGCACCTACCCTCCCTAATGAGACACCAGGTCTGGGGGTCTGTCATG